TAGCCAGGTTCCTGTCTCATGCTTTACAGGTAAAACAAAAGTATCTAACCATGTCCCTGTCTCATGCTTTACAAGTATAACAAAAGTATTTAGCCAGGTTCCTGTCTCATGCTTTACAGGTAAAACAAAAGTATCTAGCCAGGTTCCTGTCTCATACTTTACAAGTAAAACAAAAGTATTTAGCCAGGTTCCTGTCTCATGCTTTACAGGTACAACAAAAGTATCTAACCAGATCCCTGTCTCATGCTTTACAGGTACAACAAAAATATATAGCCAGGTTCCTGTCTCATACTTTACAAGTAAAACAAAAGTATTTAGCCAGGTTCCTGTCTCATGCTTTACAAGTAAAACAAAAGTATTTAGCCAGGTTCCTGTCTCATGCTTTACAGGTAAAACTTCATCAGGAAAACAAATATGATAATTCTAGATAACAGAATAAACAAAAGTTTAATTTCAACATCGTTATAAGTTACCGTCATGAAGGTCGTCAACTTCGGTTTTCTGTACGACTTGAAAACACATATCCTGGAACTGCGGAACAGAGTAAACAACTCGGGGATAATCACAGCAAAAAAGAGACACCAAATCCACGCAAGTCTCTCTTGCTCCGGAATTTTTACTTCGTAATCTCTGTCTCTTTCTAGACCTGGAAAAATATTTGGTAAATATTCACATAATTGTGCTGCTCTCAAGTTCTATAAAAACGTTTGAAATAATAAAGTAGTAATTATGATAACTTCCAAAAAATAAACTCTGGTAGAATCTCTAGGATCGTAAGTGAAAACAAAAAATATTTTTATTTTATTATTATCATTATTAAGAGATATTAAAATATCCAATAAAAGTCGTCATTAGTGTTAATAAAAACCAATTTAATTTCTCAATGCTCAGCCTTTGCTAATAATTTCAGAGGAGTGAGTTTTACGGAATAATTGTTTACACATTTATATTTGCATTGTTCACAACTTAAGTCTGCTTAGCATATACAACACTATTCGTTAGATGAAATACGCCACCTTTGGGAGAAAACCTGAAAATAAATAGTTTATAACAAAGCAACTGGAACTCGGAAAAAAAAAAGTGAAATATCTGATATTTTCGATACGAAACCTAAAGAATAGGTTTAGGTTTATAGTGTGATTGTTATTCAAATCACAGTCATTAAGGTATTCTTGAATTTAAAAAAAAAGACATTTGACGCTGTCGTTCTCCAAGTCAGTTTCTAAACCTCGATAACTTGGTTTATATACATGTTACGACAGCGGAAGTCACGTGACTCTGGTAACACGTAATGAGTATTTAGAAGGTTCCTGAAGGCTCGAGTGTTTGCCAGACGCCCTCTATTTTGTATATATAAGACCGGCAAAAAGTGGCGAGATGGAGAATTGCAGATAGAGAGATAGAGACAGATAATTGAATAAAGTGAGCGGTTGTGACCGTAAGTAAAGTGCGTGAATCGTTGTGAATTATAGCGTGTGTTTAAGATAAAGTGACGGTGGAAGTTAAGTGTATTAACAAACGAACACAGAGACGTAACACATATTTTACTGGAACAGTGTTCGATGCTGTGTTGGCCGATACGAACCACTGAAGTCATAAATAGCAAATTTCATTAACGACGTCCACTTACCCAATCCTTTTTTGCAAACTGGAAGTGTTCGATCTTGCCGAACATGGGAAGTCATAAATAACATGGATCCCTTCGAGATAACAGCTGTTGAGATAACACAAGCAAGTGTTAAAAGGTAAACACAAACTTTTAGTATCTTGAGA